TTCACTTATGAGTATGTTCTCAAATTGCGTCCATTTACCTATAAAAGTTTCAAGCTTGTCCCCCTTTATGGCTGAGTAGTACTCCATTGTATAAAAGTATCACATCTTTTTTTTTTAATCCATTCTTCGGTTGATGGGTGCTTGGATTATGTCTAAGATTTAATTATTACAAATTGTGGTGCTATAAACATCGATGCACATATATTTCTGTGGTGTGAAGTTTTTAATTCTTCTGCAAAAATACCCAGAAAGGGAATGGCTGGGTTAAATGGGACCTCTAATCCGAGCTTTTTGCGACTGATTTCCACATGGCTACACCAGTCTGCATTCCTAGCAACAGTGGAGAAGCGTTCCTTTTCCCCCACAGCCCCTCCAGCATTTGTTATTGGTTGATTTCCTGATGATAACATTCTTTCTGGGATGAGATGGAATCTTAGTGTTGTTCTTATTTGCATTTCTAGAATGTCCAATGATAATGAACATTTTTTCATATGCTATTTGTATTTCTTCATCTGAGAAGTATATATTCATCTCAGATGCCCATTTTTGGATTTTGAATTTGGTGAGTCTGATTCTTGAAAACAAATTTTAAAAGAAGAAACAATAAAACATCTGTAGTAGATGTTTATCAGTAGCACACTTTTATTTGTAGTCAAAAGCGCCTGCATAGGCAGATGCAAGGACCAGGGTTCGATCCCTGGTGTGCCATCGTGGCCCCATCCCCAGAACGCACTGAGACAGCGACTGAGACTAGGCATGGTAGCATGCACCTATAATTCTAGTGCTTGGGAGGCTAAAAACAGGAGGATCCCTACGAGGCCAATCTGTGTAGTCAGACACTGTAGACCCTGTACTAAATACATTTACAAAATTATTTGTAGTCGATGTTTACCTGTAGTAGATGTTATCAGAATAGCCCATCACACAGTGCATGGTCCCTGCCAGTGTTGTAGGGGCAAGACATGAACAGCTGTGTGATGAACGGGGAGGACTGGCACCAATGGCTGGCCCAGGGCTTCATCTCTGGCACCTGGCATGAGGACAGACTCAAAGTCCTTAGCTTCAGACCTCTAGTAGCTCCCATTAGAAACCCATCTCCATCTGACTTCAACCATCCACTACTTGGTGAGTAGTAATAGCCTGAACTTCAATTTCTATATTTGTAACATAAATTAATATATATGCAATAGGGCCAGGGAGATAGCTTGGTGGCTTAAGCACCTGCCTGGAAAGCCCAAGATCCTGAGTTCAATCCCTAGTACAAAAAACAAAACAAAACAAAAAACAAAAACAAACATATATTTGTGATCTCTTATTTGCAGGGATGCAGACAGATTCTTACATTTGACTAGTGCAATGAGAGTAGGTTTTGCAGTTGCATGTGACTGGTTTAACATCATGCTGCGGTTTATTAATTGTAAGATTATGGGGCCAAAGAGGAAAGTGATCGATGATGTAGAGTGTGCCTAAGGAGAGTCACATGGAGAGAAAACATTCAGGCTTTCACAGTGAGCAAATTGGTCTAGCAATGGCTGTGACTCATCCACATGGCTAACATTGACAAAGAATCTACAAACTGTGGTACAGGGTTTCAGGATAGATCCTGAGGGGATTTGACTGACCTTGTCAGATACAAAAGTGACATTTCTTGATAAATAGGTCTTGCTTTATCTTGGTCTTAACCATCCAGCAGAGAAGTATAAAAACAAAGTATAAGAAGTAAACCCATGGTGTTATGTTGAGCTGTAGGGGACTCAGGTCAACAATTTCTGACGCTGCCAGTCAAGAGAAAGACCCAATACTATTATGGACTACTGGACTCTTTTAGAATATTTTGCTGAGTTAACACAACTATAATATTCAAATGACGGAACTAAACAAAAAAAGGGATACAGATGAGTGTCCATTTTGTATCTGTATATTCAAAATGGTTGGCATAGATATATAGTTACATTCTTTTAATGAATAAAGGGATTTGTTGTAATAGTGTTTGTAAATAGGATATCATGTCTGCATCTTGTACAGCAAATAACCACTAGGAAGAGAGTATGAAATGTGTTAATTATTGAAACTGTCCTACGAATTTTGATTTGAAACTGTCTCATTGCTATTTGTCTCTCAATAAAATTATGGGGGAAAAAAAGACTTTAGTCAACACCTCTGAATCTCATTTTCTCACCTATGAAAAGAGAATCAGAGCACCTCCTCTAAAGCTACCATGAGGCTTAAATGTCAAGCTCTCTGTAAATGATAGACACCCAGAAATTGGCAACTACTGGTATTGTTTGTTGTGCAGTCTGTAGAGCACTAGAGAGCAATTTACGCCATCATCTTACTTGGTCCTCACCCGGACTCTGGGACCAGACTGTTGACTAACCTTTGAAGTGGACTGCCACCCATTGCAAGGGGCAGTACCAGGAGCAGAACCGAGATGTTCCTAAAACCACGCATCAGGGATTTTGAGGGGTGTTGTTGGAATTCAGTATGTAGCTAAGTACAGAAGGCTACTTTGTGTTCATTGCCTAGAATTTGCAATAAGAAACGGAGGAAAGATGTTTTCCTTCTTAGTGAGGAGTTGGACAATCCTGGGCAGCTTAAGCAAGCAGGCCTCTGAGCAGCTACCCTCTCCACCCTACCTGCCCACCATATAAGATGTAGCCTCTTGTGGCAGGACGGGCCTAAAGAAATGATGAATCTTTTTTGAAACCTGCAGAAATTGAAAAATACATCATGCCTGAGTAATTGCGAGTGGGTGTGCATCATTTAGCACTCCGGGGGCAGGGAGGCGCACACCAGTATAGGAACACCCATGACCACCTGGAGAAGCCACCCTCAATCAGCGTCCACACAAGAAGCTCATCGTGATAGGAGTTCCTTTCCTTGTCAGAGTCATCTTTTTGAATAAAGTTGCCTTCCTTGCACGAACACCTTGACTTAGGTGTGGGTAAGCAGCCTGTTTCTGTGACATTCCAATTCCTGACATGTTGTGTGACTGGAAACCCTGCATTGTGGATGACAGAAACTTCAGATCAACCATCTCCAGATAAGAAAGGGAGTTCCTTAATTAAATAACTATTCATAAAGAGGTTCACTGGAAAGGGAAGAAAAGGAAGTTAGTCATGCTTCCTTCCCAGGGTAAAGAGATTCACTGGAAAGGGACGAAAAAGAAGTTCATCAAGCTTCTTTCTTTCTGCCCCATTTACTGGGTCCACGCATGCTGCAAACAAAGGTAAGGAACACGCTCCATCAAAGTGTCCAGTTCAGAGCAAATAACTAAACCAGGATGGCAAGAGTGGCTGGGACTGGCTGGTTATCATTATTTTTTTAATTTTATGTATTTGGTTCAGAGTCTAACTATGCAGCTCAGACTCATAGTGATCCTCCTGTTTCAGCCTCCACAAGGCTGGGATTAGAGGGGTTCACCACCATGACCGGAACTGGCCTGGAACAGCATGTGGTACCAGGGATTGAACCTGGGTTCTTGTGCTTGCCTATACAGGCACTTAGACCGCTGAGCTACCTCTATGGCCCTTGGCTGGTTATTTTTACAGGGAAATTTAAAACAAAGCAACCAACGCTCAACTTGGCAGGCAGGTTGAACTGAGTGCAGTGAGGATTGGAAACAGGGTATAGGGTGGGTTTCATTCTATCTGAAAATGTTGTAGTCAGCTTAGATAGAACAGACATTCTCACTGCAGGCCAGACCTCATGACAAAAGAGTAAACAATTGAAGCCACAAACTTCTCTAAGGATGGGCATCAGGGATTGATATTCTAAACAGGTATCTGGCACCTTCAAGAAGCCAGAAAGTCATTGACCCGATCCCTATGGGAAAAGCCCTTGCTCCTATTCATGTCTTGTTTGCTATGGAACTCGCTTCCCCATTTGATCCTGATTTAATCAATTTTACCTATTTTACCTAAGCAATTGCACTTGTAGTCTTATTGGTTAACCATAATTTTGTCCCGTCATGCACGAGTTCCTGTGTTTTCCACCGTGGACATGACTCACCTCCAGGATTTGCTCTATAAAAATCCTTGGGAGGGGGGGGGGCAGCGAGATAGCTCAGAGGGTCTAGAGCGCCTGCTTAGGCAAACTTAGGCAAAGCGCAGAGACACTGGCACTGAATGCTACGCCAGCCCTACCCCCAGGGTGGGCTGAGGTGGCCACCAAAAAAAAAATCCTTAGAAAAAGTAGGTTCAGGGCTGGGGATGTGGCTAAGTGACATAAGCACCTGAGTTCGATCCCCAATACTAGAAAAACAAACAAAGAAAACCCCAAAA